CAAAAGATCAACCTATCCATTAATTTGATACTGCGCCGCTTCGATCACCATCTCACACGTGTTACCGGGGCACATTTCTGCGGCTCACACTAGATTTAGAATCGCATAAGTTGATTATAAACGCACTTATTGCGGTTTGCATAAAGGTGTGACCTCTTCATAATCTCGTGTGGAAATCTGAAATCTGTAGATTTTAAGAACCTTACCAATTTCAAATAAATAAATATAAATATAACTAATCGAAAATATGTTTAATAAACAATTTAAAATCTCGGGAATTTTCCTCGTTCATCATCACAAAAATCATGGGGTCACATCTTTTTGCAAAGCGCTATAAGTTGAAACAAAATTTAAATCTATTCAAAATCGTTAAAGAATTTCAGACCAACTTAAAGTTAATTCCGAATTTACTTAAACGCATATTCAACTCAGAAATTAAAGTGTTTGAATTCAATTTATAGTAGCAACACATCGCAGAGTTATTTATGCATATATTCTTGTTATATACTAATTACTACAAGCATGATTATAGGGATGACATCTATTTCAGCAAGGCAATTTTGCTTACATTTGCAGTGATTTTTTTCACATTCTCCTTACCTATCAACTAAACTTCATTCTTTAATAACACACAGTCATTAGATTTAAATCATTTATAAACATCCATCTTGCATATCCTATGCTTGTAATCCCGAGCTAATTTGACAACACATCAGAAAAGTCTCTCCTCTGGTTACAACCAGTGTCTAAAATAAGGTGCAGAAGAAGAGAAGCGCACATCAAAAAAATTTTCTCTCCATAAAGATTAACATTGTGTGCATTTTGCGTATGTTGGCTTTAAAATTATGGACAGAATACACGCATTAAAATTATTAAATTCATATATCTTTTAAACTTTAAGGTTTGCTATATTTTATGTTATGCTAAAACACTAGTAAAAATAAAGTAAACAAGGACAAGTTCAAATTTGCTATAATAATTTTTTATTATCATAAATATACTGATTGAAATAACATTGATAAATGACAAAAAATCGCGTAAATAACGCACAAAATATATAAGTGTAGAATATTATAAAACAGTTTAAAACTGTTCACTACTAACTAATTCATCCATAACATCATTTAAAAAGAAATCAAAAGGATTTTTGAAATCATAAAACAAAACATTAATTTTAAATCCACCAAATTCACTGATAAAAGGATAACTTGCATCAGTAACTAACAGAATCTTCTTTTCTGCAATATTTTTATCAAATTTAAACGCATAATTATTAGTAATTGAATAAATTCCATCATTATCAATCGGAACTGGTCTTTTTCTGCTATGGTTGATGTCCTTGGGATGTTTATCTCGACATGCATATCCAATCCATTTTATATTAGTCGCTTCATCAGCCTTAGTGTGATCAAAACCTATATCAAATCCGCTACTAATCCTCTTTTTAATAGAATGCTCAAAAATATTTTTCAAATAATAAAATAAGAAATTACTGAATTGGAATAAAATGATATCGTATTTTTCATTATCATTTTTACGACCAATATCATATTTTTTGATAAATTCAGGTATTATGGCTTTTAATTCATTGTGTAGTTTAAAAGTTTTCAAACAAAGTTTAATTCCAATTCCAACTCGAATAGATTCTAAAACAGATTGTTCAAAATGCGGAGTTTTGTATATTTAGAGTTAAGCCATTTAATAACATTTTGTATTAAATTGAAGTTTTTCAATTTAACATAATTTATTGAACTATCATCATGCTTATTTGCATATTCTGTTCCATTGTAATTCGAAAGGTCATAATCATCAATTACTTTGATTCCTTGAGTAATATATGCTTGAACACGTAACTTCAAACAATTTAAAGCTTCTTTAATTGTTATAGGTGTTCTAATTTGTTCATTTCAACTTTAATAACTTTATTAATTAAAAAAAATTGCATCATCATCATCATTTGCAATTTCTGAAACTTTCATAGCGTTCTCAGCTTCGTGAACAATTCTTTAATTGCATATTGGCTCTTATAATATCCCATAAAAAAATAAGGATCATGTTGATGAATTTTAATGGCTGTATACCCAACACTTGCTTTAAATATTTAATCTTTAGTCGCATCTTTTTTTGAAATAAATACTCCTTTTTTACGAGCTAAATTTTCATAATAGTCAACAGATTCTTCCTCGTTCATGTTAACACTCATATTTGTTTAATAAATTTTTTTTTATTAAAAAGGAGATACTTAGATAAAAACTATTTAAAGCAAATACTTTAACAGAGTAACTGCTAAAAACAACTAGAAAATGCGGTTTTTTTTCTTTTTCTTTTTGCTTTTTATTTATTTATTTATTTATTATTATTATTTTTTTTTAGGACTTTAGTACGTATTAATGATATGTAACTACTACTGTAATACCTTTCTTTCAACTATATGCAACTTATAGTTATCGAGTGTTATTCATATAGATACGTTTGTTTAAATTAAAATGTGGTGTTAGGGTTGGGCGTTTTGCGTAAGTTAAATTTTTAATGTAAGTTATATGTAAGTTATATCTAAATCGCTATGCGAATCCTAGTGTAAGTTTGCAAAATCATGTAAGTTACATGCAAGTTAAAATGTAACATACAAAATTTGCCCAATCCTATGAGGTATACGTACGTAAGCACATTGTGAAAGGGAAATTTATGCAGTTCCTTGGAGATACAATTCTTCTAAAATCTCAAAAATCCTAAATATTTTGGGATCTAAAATCCTTTTAATTCGTAGTATAATGAAATCCACCTGAATAACAAAGATATTAGATATATTAGAAATAGTTAGAATATTTAATAGAGCTATTAACTGACAACTCTCATAATCTTAGAGACTTGTGCCGTAATATAAAGTCCCAAAACCACGAAGCAATCTACGTACAACCATTTGTTTAACAATATCTTTTTATAGAGATTACAAGATCAAATACTGTATTTTCGCATAACGATAATAATGCCACCTACTATTTAGGGATATCATAGGTGCCATTTCTAAACCATGTTATTTTTAGGTAGTACGATTTTCTAAGTAATTTTTATGAGCATTAATACGATACTTATAAGCAAAAAATAAATATTGTTGGCGTCAATAAGGTGTGTACGCCATGCCAAGCAAAGAAAAATGCTTGTACGTTGAGAAAGGCTAAACTGGAGCATAATCAGGAAAATATGGGTATTAGATATCCAGATAATTATCCGGAAATGATCAGATTATAAGATAATTATCTACATATGACCGAATTGATCAGATAATTGTCTCGGTGGATAAATAGATGACCAGATCTAAGTCCTATCTTATAGCCCAACATGTTGCGGTTTCATCGCGTAAATCTGGTACATATTTTTGAATGCATCAGTTTTGCTGGCTTTTGTCAGTCTCACATATTTAGTCAGTTCCTCAACTATTTGTCAGTTTTGTCACCTTTCATCAGTTTCATCACCTTTCATCAGTTTTGTCATTTCGTCATTTAATAATAGACGAAACTGAGTTGTTATATAAAATATCTTTTAGTTGGTAAAAATATATCAGTATGGTAGTATAAATCAATGGATGAATCAAGTATCTGTAAGACTTTTTGGCCGCGGAAGTGGCCCCAACTATTTTACAGATGTTTGATTTATTCACTAATTATTATCGTCCATTATTAATTATAGGTATGTATATTTTATCGATAATCAACTTATTTCACACAATTAATTTAAAATAATATTTATTTACCGATAATTAATTCACAGGTAAGCTCATTTCATAGACAGTATATTTTACCGGCAACTCATACCACAGACTGGTCATTATCGTTGGAATAAACGACATATCCCTTACGATTAGTGCAATTTATTGAAAAAAAAATTGTGAAAATGATCTGTTGGTGAATTATATTGTCTATAAATGAATTTGTCTGTGAATTAATCGTCTGTAAAATAAACCTTGTCTATGAATTAATTTTCGGTAATTATTCATTATTTATTAAAAATCCAGAGATCCACACAAAGATATTATATAGTTATTGGATGCGAAGCATCCAATAATGTATACTTATCGATTATTTATTCACTTAATTAAGTATTCATTTCATTCAAATTAATTTGTGAAGATTCTAATTCGTTAAATTTTTGAATATGTATTCTTGTACACTTCATTAACTTCGTTTCGTTTACACTAATTAAATAGATAAGACATTTAGGTATAAAGATACTTGAATTCATATCATTTAATTTTATTACGTGAGTAGTAGAAAGATATTAATTCATTATTGATTTATTGTATATGTTATAAGTGGGAATGATATCATAATAGGTTCGAAATCCACTTAGATTATAACGGGATAATTATACTAAAAACTCTTAAAAATTCCACTTACGACATATATATAAGTAAAAAAATAAATATTTATAAGATGAGGTATTTGAATAGATTGTTCAAGTTCGTGAATCTTTCTATCAAGTAATGCTTCTCATTTCATTCAAATTAATTTAGAAATATGAAAACCATTACTTTTATATACAAAATTATTAAAACAGGCGGCGAAGCCGCCCGCAAGATCATTTCTAGTTGTTTATAGTTTACAAATATATATTTTAAATTTGAAAATTGTATGTATTGTGAGTCCCAGAATGTAACACGGGACCCGGTAATTGGTCACGTGAAAAATGCACGAAGTGCAATAAATGTAATAAGTTACATTTAAGATCGGAAAAGG